TCTACATAACTACAGTTTTACTATCTGTTACAAGAAAATTAGGAAATTGCTTAGAAATCGGTTTTTCTTATTTTTTATTAAAAAGAATCTTGACAGCCATAGTTTTATAAATGCTGTCTCGTATTCCCCAATAAGTGGGCAATTAACACTATGTTCAAAACATGACCATTCCATCACAAATTTTTCATTTATTTGATCATCATCTTGTTCTCCTAAACCTGCCCGAAGACTTGTAACTAAGCCAAGCCCCGCCACTACAACATCATCAGTCTGTTCACATTGCAAAATTTTTCTCCTAAACAACTTTTCTACGTTCATTTATCATAGTGGTTATAGACTATCAGGCTTTTAACGCATTTCCCAAACAATCATTTTCAATTTTTTACTTCTCTCCAATATTATTCCAATGCAGACACTTATACCAAAATTATATTCTACATTCTCCTTCGGGGACTCTTCTTGGCTAACAAAAAATTTTTTCATGGATAATATAATTGTGATGGGGTCCATAATAATTTTACTTAACTCTTTTTCCTGGTTTTTATACATACCGCTTCTCCAATGAGCATGTTTTTTGGGGCATTTACAACAAGACCTTCAATGAAACAAGAAAAAGTAATGATAAAAGAAGCTCATGTCTAATTACTTTACGCCATTTTGTTGCAAACAATTCAGTTAGCAGTAACAAAACCCCTTCCTAATTCTTTTTCCCCAACTAAACAAATTATTATGGGTTTTTAACAGGGGGGTGGGAACAAGAGCAGATACAGCCCCCGCCAGAAGACTCCTTTTAGAACCCCCATGTATAAACTTGTGATAACTTATTACTACCAGCCAGGCAGTTACTATTATAGTTATCTGTTTACAATATGTTTTAAATCACGATTTCATCATTGCTTAGTTAATCTTAAGTTAATTTTAAGCCAGCCCGTAATGCTATGCATATAAGTGGTTTTGGCATCTGCTCTTACCTGTATTTTATGTATGCTAAAATTTCTAAATAAAAAAATAAATAAAGCATTCTTTCCACTGTGGTCGAGGTCCTCTCCCCCTAGCACTGGACGGCCGGCTCGAACGGCGTATGTTGTCAGTGGCCCTGAAACCCAACAGGAGAAGAAGGGTACAATACACGTACGTATATAAATACTGACATTTAATACTTGTCTTGTAGTATAGCAATATATGAATTACAGTAGCTAAATAAAAACTGTCTTATGGGCAGATGAAAATCCTGAAACCTAAAAAAATAAGATTTTTACTGAGCACCTGCTACAAGCTCCCGTGATCAAAAAGTGTCAGTATTACCATTAATAGAGTGTTTTGATGCTGGAAAAAATTAGAATTAAACCTTCCCATCATCAATTAGCTTTGATCACCTTGTATTCCGAGGTGCTCAGTGACCTTCAAATTTAATCCCTCCTTCCTCCCCCAGGGGAAATAAGTCAATTTTGACTTTTTTTTTTTTTTTTTTTTTGGGGGGGGGGGGGGGGTACCAAGGTAATTTACACTATTAGGGAAAACTGAATTTAGTTTTCCCTTATTTTCAGTCCCTAAATTTTGATAGCTTTTCAGTCCCTTATTTGAAGCAATCTGAATCGAGATTATTTTGGGAGAGTAAGCCATACGTGAGGTGTACCCTGAATACGACTTTAAAAGGGGGGGGGGACCACTGTGAAAACAGGTCATGCAATGATTTACTAGCAATTAAAAATGGGTTGGGATAATAAGACATGCAAAAAAGCCCCATGCCGTTCATAGACGCCCAAAACCTATTTTCAACTATTTGTCCAATTTGTTGTCATAATCTACTTCCATAGGGGTCCCCCCACCTGTGAAAATCTCAACTGCACACACCTCACACGGCCTGTCCTCTGTTTTAGCAAAGGGGGACGATCATCTATAAAAGGTAAGGGTTTAAACCCTTTAACATTACTTCTAAACTTTTTTTCCTTTGCTACAAAATAAAAACATTCTTAAATTTGAGTGAAGGAGCCTGCACCAGCGTGTAGAAACCAGGGGGAGCAAAGGGGCAGAAAAATTTCATACTCTTAAAACAATTTCCCAAAACCCCCAAAAAAAATAAAAATAGCACACCTTCAAAACAAGCCCCCCTTTTGTCCCCCCACTATCCAAAAAACAAACCCCCGATACCCTTCAATATAGAAGTTTGGCTCGGGAAATCGTTTTCTCAGAAAAGATTCACAAGGGGGCATGTTGAAATTTGGGTTAAATTTTGTTTTTCAGAGCCAATCTTTGACAAAAAACTTTTATCTTTAATATGGCAATTTTAAGAGATGCCCCAACAAAGTATTGGAAAGGGAAAAGCCGACCCCGGAAAAACTAAATTTTCAGGGTAATCAAAAACTCATGAAAGAACCCCACAAATTTGTAAGATACTATAAATTAAAAGTTAGTACAGAATTTTTTTATTTTTCATCTATCTTGTAAAATTTTTTCTCTCTCACATTTGATGATGCCATTAAAAGATTACACATATCTTGCACACAAAGACTTCCAGTATACATTAAACAAACTGTTCATTTTTTACAGAAAAAACAAAGAACAAATGCACACGTCGTTTCTTCAAAAAATGCGCAAATCGAGTTTTCTTGGGCCAGATGTCAAAAATGCTATGAAAAAAATTTGCAAAAATTTTAAGGTAAACACTTAAAATATTTAAATTTTTTTTTTATTAAATTTTTTTTTTTTTTTCAACAAGCGGGGGCCCTCTCCCACCGAGGCAAAAGGGGGACCCAAAAAAAAGAAAAAAAATCCCCCAAAAAGAAAACTTTTATCATCATTCAACACTTTCACCACACTCACACATTATCACGCTTTTGGCAGAGTGCTCAAATACAACATTTAGAAGCATATCATATAAAGAACACAACATACCCTCCAAACTGCAAAAAATTAAATTAAAATAATATAATAAAATTTTTAAAAATTATTAATAATTATAAATATTATATTATATAAATTATATATTAAATAATATTATATAATATTATATAATAATATTATAATATTATAATTATAATAATAATTATAATTATAATTATAATCATTATAATTATTATTATATAAAAGGAGAAAGGCAAAAGGAAGAAACCATGTTCTTAATTACTCCAGTCATGCTTTACACCTTGTATCTCCTTGGAACTAGTGATATAATGTAATTTCTAAAATTACCATTGACTCTTAACTAACTTATCAAGAACTTCCCAACAATACCTTGCTCTAGACTCATAATCTATGATTCTTTAAAGTTTACGGTAATTTTAGCCTTAGTCAAGTTTCCCCAAAAAGTCATGAATATTATGGGGCTTTTAAAATCTTATATTTATTCTGGTATGTTTTGAAAATAACATTGTAAATTTTGAATATAATCATTTAATGTCAACTTAAAGCAAACATGATACACATTGCTAGGTAAAAGGACACAAGTGCAACTAATGTGACATTTTATTGTGGCAACGTTCCACTCTCCAGGAGCTTTATGAAGCTGTTATGGCTTGATAAAGCTCCTGGAGACGAAATGTTACCACAATGAAATGTCACATTAGTTGCACTTGTGCCCTTTTACCTAACATATTGTTGGTAATTCTACCAACATTAATACACATGATACACATTATTGCCAGGAACCAGAACAAAAGTGAATGAAGATACTATAAGTAAAACTTCCAATTTATGGACCTCCGTTTAATAGATTTCAGCAGTTACGGACAAAAACTTGGACAAATGTTGGAAGCATCAGATGAAATAAAAAAAAGTCTGTTTTTCCTGATTTTGTCCACTGTGGTAGTATCTGGTTATCTTCTGAATCATCATGCTAAGTCTGAAAACTACGACATTTGCCCAGTGCAGGTCAGAGTTGTCACGTCCTGGGCCTGTCTGTTTTCCATTGTTCCATGAACCATAGGCCCCCAGCACCAGTTTATTGTGTGTGCTCATTCACCTATACACTTGCCATTTAGTCTCCAATTTTCTTAACATATTTTATTAACATATTTAGTAAAGTGCAGTTAACAGTGGCTTCTAAAGTAAATGGTGGAGCCAAATTCAACTCTTTTTCACTCGTATGTTTGTTCAACCTGTTTTTTAAAGTTGCACATGATCACCTTCTCCTGATGTCCTACGTTAGCTGTAATTTTTCTAATTATACATACTGCATATCTGATAAAGTGCATTTATGGGTGAAACATTATACCAATAGTTAATTTGATATGTTTATTATGCACTCCATACCCATCCTGTGGGCTGTAGTCAAAAGACTTCATTGCATTAAGTTTCTGTTTAACAGCATGTAACTCCAAAGTTGAATATGAATTCCATTATTTCTCTGGGTTCCTCATGCATGATATATGACCAACAAAGTTAAACACTTCCTTTCTGATTTCAGTCCCCGAAAAATAGTTGCTTCTTTATCTATTTTTGATAATAGAGTGAACAATAGAATGTGAATGGCTTGTACATAGCAGGATTAGAGATTTGAATAGGGGTCGTGGTGTTGTGTAAAGGTAAAATTGGATTTGATCCTGTTGGCTGAATTCTTATAGCTGGCAATTTTCACTTACATATTGTTGGGATTTTGGAACCTAACATTCATAAAAATGGGGCCCTCCTGTATAATATGTACATCATCTGTTGTTGTTAATCCTTGTAGGCAGGTACCAGATATAGATGTAATTGTGTAGTATAAGATAAACAGTGTAAGCTACTGTACAACCTTTAGCAACAGGTCTTTGAAACCACCACAGTATTAGTGAATGGGTATCCTTTCCTTCACTCTTGTTCTACACATGATTTTTTGTACATATTTATAAAAATCCTACAAATTTAGAAATTATCCACAAACTTCTCAGTACTTTCTTGTAAAGAAAGTTTGGTTTTGTATGTTATAGAATGGAAGTTCTGTGGAGATGATCATTATAGTGTAAATATACAACTTTCATCATTTGAATGTCTCATACATTTGTCTTTTCTTGCTATTCCAGTTCCAGCTGATAATCTACAGGAGTTTGTTATGGAAATAAATAAACATCTTGAAGTAATGCATTTAGCAATACAAAAATCAGTTCAAGAAGATTCTGCAAATGATATTCATTGCTTTGTTCTTGTCAATTCACTTAACAGTGATGCAACAAGGTGAGTTCGTTTTTTTAGGTTAATATTGTATGTGTAATATTATGTGGCAATTCCATGACTGAGTAATGTCGTCCAGCATTCCCTACTATGAAGTGAGAAAAGATTGGGCTGGTGCCCAATGGCATTTTCTCTTCTCTCTTCTAATGGTCAAGTGCCTACCTATCCATTGAAAGAAGAAAATAGGGTAATGATGACTATTGGATATTTTAATATCTTACATATAAGTATTTTATTTTATTAGCACATCGGCTGTCTCCCACCAAGGTAGGGTGGCCCGAAAAAGAAAAACTTTCACCATCATTCACTCGATCACCGTCTTGCCAGAGGTACACTTACACTACAGTTATAAAACTGCAGTATTAACACCCTTCCTTCAGAGTGCAGGCACTGCACTTCCCATCTCCAGGACTCAAGTCCAGCCTGTTGGTTTCCTTGAATCCCTTCATAAATGTTACTTTGCTCACACTCCAACAGCACGTCAAGTCCTAAAAACCATTTGCCTCCATTTGCTCTTATCTAACACACTCAAACATGCTTGCTTCTCACACAAAACCTCCTTTACCCCCTCCCTCCAACCTTTCCTAGGCCGACCCTTACCCTGCCTTCCCTCCACTACAGATTTATACACTTTCAAAGTCATTCTACATATAATATGTGAAATAATTACTCTAGACCAGGACTATCCATCTTAGTAAATCCTTGGGGTTTACAATTTTTGTAGAGCAGCGACCAGAGGGACAGAGAAGTATAAATTGAATAAACACACTTCTTTTAAAGATAAAGATTTTATTTCCTTGTTAAGGTTACAATGTGTAATTACAATTTTGGGTTAATAAGTACACAAGGAAAGCCACTATCATGCAGGGGCATTTCGGGCAGACTAATCCTAGTACATAATAGCTACTTAAATCTCAATAAGATAATAGTGGTTAAGTTTATTAAAATCTTATTTAATCTTAACTCTAATGCTAGGTAGTCAAGGTGGAGGTTTATAAGAATATTAATCTTGAAGTTGCACATAATAAAAACAATGTTACAAGTAATGGTTCAAGCAGTAATATTTCATGAATTAGAAGATGTTTAATAGACTAGAGGCCACATAATATAATACATAACTGATTAGAAGTTGTTTTCATTGCTTTGCTTAGTATTGAGAGATGAGATGATTTTTAAGCAAAGTTCTAAATTTATAGGTAGTCAGGGGATCCTTTACCATTTCAGGTAGTGAGTTTCAGATCTTCGGGCCCTTTATGTGCATTGCATTTTTACATAGTGTGAGACTGACACAAGGGATGTCGAAGAGTGCCTTATGCATTGTACTGTGACTGTGTTCTGTTGAAGCTATCAAGGGGAAGTTTGAGTGGAGAGTTTATATTGAAGTTTAATGTTTAATGTTCTCATATATTTAGCAAGTTCAGGCTTTTGAAAAGTGGTGGGGTGTGCTGTCTGGCACAGGAGCTGGTAATCTGCACAGTAACTTTTTGTTGGGTTATTAAAGGTTGAATGTGGTTGGCTGTGGTTGATCCCCAGGCACAAATACCATAGGTGAGGAAGGGATATACAGTGGAACCTCTACTTACAAGTGCACCCATGTGCGAGTTTTTCCAGATACGAGCAGTTGCTCAGTTGATTATTTGCTTCCAGACGCAGGCAAAATTTCCAGATGCAAGCGGGCCTCAAGGGAGGTTCCTTGATGCTGGTGAGGGGTTCTTGCTCTTGGTCTAAGGAACTGGATCTTATTTGTTTGTTGTTTATTGAAACTTGGGCAATGTATGATGGAAAGATACTTCTTAACGTACACCAAAATTGAAAGAAATTGGACCATACATAACAGAGTTCACTTCTCAGCCATTAGCTGCTCCTTAGCGGTATATTTTTGTATGGTTTTAATGGTTATATTCTCGCTTTTTTTTTGGTCTCATTTGATAAAATGGAAAGAGTAAACAATCCCTCTCCGAGTGGCCACTCCAAATACGCAGTCATGAATGAGTTGACATTATTTATACAATTATTATAATGTAGTAGTCTGCATAACAGTAAATCTTCTATTTTTTGTGTGAATAAAAATTCCAAATTGTAAGCAAGAGTATCATAATAATAATAACAACAATATGTATAATATAATAATTATATATGTAATATAATATAAATTATAATATGTACATTTTTTTTTTTTTTTCAACAAGTCGGCCGTCTCCCACCGAGGCAGGGTGACCCAAAAAAGAAAGAAAATCCCCAAAAAGAAAATACTTTCATCATCATTCAACACTTTCACCACACTCGCACATTATCACTGTTTTTGCAGAGGTGCTCAGAATACAACAGTCTAGAAGCATACACATATAAAGATACACAACATATCCCTCCAAACTGCCAATATCCCAAACCCCTCCTTTAAAGTGCAGGCATTGTACTTCCCATTTCCAGGACTCAAGTCCGACTATATGAAAATAACCGGTTTCCCTGAATCCCTTCACTAAATATTACCCTGCTCACACTCCAACAGATCGTCAGGTCCCAAGTACCATTCGTCTCCATTCACTCCTATCTAACACGCTCACGCACGCTTGCTGGAAGTCCAAGCCCCTTACCCACAAAACCTCCTTTACCCCCTCTCTCTCCAACCCTTTCGAGGACGACCCCTACCCCGCCTTCCTTCCCCTATAGATTTATATGCTTTCCATGTCATTCTACTTTGATCCATTCTCTCTAAATGACCAAACCACATAATAATAATAAATAATACTATAATAATACTACATATAGGTGAGTTTGAGAACACCGCCACAAGATGGCATTACATGTATGAAAACAACACTCCGCATGTGTTTCAACTGGTGGTGGAGATAATTCTCGTAATTTCCTTATGTTTTGTGCATTTATTTTGCAGAATTTCTTGTTTCTGACTGTGGGTCCTAAGAAAGCAAGTGCAAAGGACAGTGCTAAGAAGAAAAAGATGATGCTATCCATGGAATTAAATCAGGAAATCATTGATAAACACAAACTAAGAGTGTAGCATTAAGAGTGTATAGGTCAGCCGTCACTAATCCGGCAATCAGTTATCCGGTTCCATCAGTAATCCGGCACTCATTTCAGCCAGCATAATTTCAAATTTCATCATTAAACTGACACAAATCATTATACTGACTCAAACTTGATCATTATACTGACTCAGAAATTGTGCAGATGGTTGTAAATCCACAGCAGCAAGCCAGTGGAGAAGAAAGCAGTGATGAAAATGAGGAAGATGTAGCAGAAATAGTCTCTATTGATAGGTTAATTAAGTGTATTCTAACCTAACCACTCTAATCCGGCAAACTCTCTAATCTGACACACGACAGGTCCCAGTGATGCCGGATTAGTAATGGCCAACCTGTACCATTAAGAGTGTTCCATTAAGAACGTAGCATTAAGAGTATAGCAGTTAAGCAATTCAGCGATAGAAAAAGGACAAAACGAAATGAACTGACAGCATACGCTGCTGTGCCCAGCATCTCTACCTCATCAACCTTCGCCAGCATCTCTTCTCCAAGGTAAATGCTGTATTATTATTATTATTATTATTTTTTTTTTTTATTATTATTTTTTTTTATTATCACACTGGCCGATTCCCACCAAGGCAGGGTGGCCCGAAAAAGAAAAACTTTCACCATCATTCACTCCATCACTGTCTTGCCAGAAGGGTGCTTTACACTACATTTTTTAAACTGCAACATTAACACCCCTCCTTTATTATTATTTATTATATATTATTATTATTATGATTTATTACATATTATTATTATTATTATTGTTTGCCTTATGAAACTACGTAGTGATCTAATGGAGTTTGCTTACAAACACTCCATTTTCTGTTATAATACAAGCCTGGGAAGGTATGTAGTCAGGAGCAGGAACAATGGCTGCTGTGCCACCCCCTCCACTACTACTATTCAAATGTGTAATGACATATTTCATTCATTCTGGAATATATATCATGTTTCTGTGTTATTAATATTGTTTATTATGTCATATTAGATGAATTGTGATATATAAATAAGCCGTAGAGTTGATATTAGGGAAATATTCAAGTACACATTTTGTCGTCCCTGGAATTCCACTGGGACAGATTAATTCCATTTCAGTTAATTTAAATGAGGAAAATTGACTTTACAAATGAGCAAATCCAGATGCAAGCAAGGTCACGGAACAGATTAAACTCGTAAGTATAGGTTCTACTGTATTTAAGAGTGGTATAGGGTACATAGTATCATATTTTGGACAGGATGCCTACTGATTTGGCAATTTTCATGGATATATGTTGGATGTGGGATTGAAATTTAAGATTACAGTCAAGGAGAAGACCTAGAGTGAGTTTGTTGGTCATCATCCAAGTATATATTTTTTAGCAGTTCAGTGTTTCCAAGTATAGCTGGGTTTGTGTGGTAGTAGACATAAGTAGTGTCATCTGCAAATAGAATTGGTTTAAGGAGTTGGGATGCATTGGGGAGTCATTGATGTAGATGAGAAAGAGTGGGCCTAGGACACTACCCTGGGGCACTCCTACAGCTACAGGCTGGATAGTGGAGTTGACTCCATTTGCATATACATGTACATACTGGTGTCTATCTTTAAGATAAGATTTTAGGTAATCAAGGGAATGTCTTCTGATGCTGTAATGATTTAGCTTTAGGTGCAGGAGATTGTGGTCCGCTGTATCAAATGCTTTTTGTAAGACAATGAAGAGCCCCAGAGGATATTCATTTTTATTGAGGGCTGTATATATTAGTTCAAGCATCTGTATAATAGCACCATTCTTACTTTTTTTGGTCTAAACCCAAACTTGGACTTGTTAAGTATGTTGCTGGATATAAAGTAGGAGTAAAGTCGTTTGTGCATTATTTTTCGAATATTTTAGAAAGTAAGGGCAAATTTGATATAGGTCTATAGTTGTTCAAGTCGTTTGGATCACCTCCTTTGAGGATTGGGGTAACCCATGCTGTCTTGAGTATGGATGGGAAGGTTGAGGACTCTACAGATTTATTAAACATGTTGTAATAATGGGTGGCAGCACATGTGCAGCTTTTTTATATATGAATGGTGGCAAGTTATCAAGATCTCCTGCTTTGTTTTTTAATGATTTGCTTATGAGTGAGATGTTGGTAGAATTAGTTGGAGGTAGATATAGAGTATTTGGGTAGTTGCCAGTGAGGTAGTCTTTCAGCTGGGTATTTGAGCTAGGAATATTACATGCAAGCTTTAATCCTACAGTAGAGAAGAAGACATTAAATTTGTTGGCTGTGTCTATAGGCTGTATGTGAGGTTCATCTGGTTTAGTTAAGTTTCTCTCTTTCCAGACAGTTTTCTAGAGCCCAAAATTTTGGAGAGGGTTTGCCAGGTACTTTTCATATTGCCTTTTATCTCGCCAAATCTATTTTCGTAATATATTTGCTATGATTTTTGTATATTAGTTTTGTGAGTATTGATGCAAGACAAGCCACGGGGGTGGAAATCTTTAGCTCAAGTACTTTCACACTTCTCAGTGTGTCATCAGGAGCTATGCAGTGTTGCAAGGCTGCAACTGAAGCAGGGGAAGTTTTCACCGGCCGCAGCTTCTCTCAGAATGTGGGCAACAGTCGGTACCAACCCCGTTCCACCACTATCCCCCTACTCCTCATATGGGGTAGGAGGGTTTTTGAGATGTCAAGTATTATGAAGTTAGAAGATATAATAGCCAGCCCCAAGCTTTCTCTAGCCGCTTAGAACAAGGTTCTAGACTCTGTTACCATACTCGGAAGATTGTCACACGCAGCATTCTCCACCTGACCAGCATTTTCATCCTATAAATACTCGCGTATCTTTTATCCAGGTAGATCTGTTTGCAACTTGATAAAGCCCACTGCGTGGGCAAAACATTGTCAATAAAGGATCACATTATACTGCTTAAGTGCTTGTCCCCATTATACTATATACTGTACCTAAGTCAACATTCTTTCATAAAAAAGCTCAAGTTATGTAAACATTTTTAATTTTCTCTGTATTTTTTTGGTCTTATTAAAAAAGTAATATGAAAGCTCATATGACCAATTATACTTTTCATGGAGAAATAACACTCGTTGAAAGCCACACTGGTGATGCATGGTGCTGTAGCTTCCTGCCCTTGGATAGTTTATCATTACATAAATATTTTCATAACTTGATATATGTACATAAATTCAAATATTGTACTGTATTTAAATCTTGTATTTCAGAATGTTTTCAACTTTCACTCTGCAAGAGCTTGCTCTGTTTAGAAGTATCATAGAGGAAGTTGTTAACTCTGATGATGGAGAAATACTTGAAACGGATGCCATAAATCTGGCAACCACATTGGAACCTCGAATGAAGATTGCTGATAGTGAGGAAGCTATTGAGCACCTTGTACTGGATAAATGGCTTCTCCGGGTAATGCATCTTTATTCATGACATGTGGATGATCAATTACATAGACACTTCTTATCTCTCAGCGTATTAGCTTAGTTAGCAAGTTGCTACAGGAACATGAAGTCTCGTTAAGAAGAAATGTGGTAGACAACTTTAACCCGTTAACTGTCCAAATGTAGATCTATGTTGTCACTGCTAGCAGTCCGAATATTTTCATTTTTTTTAATAAAGAGGGGCAATTTTCTGTGTGTAATAACAAGACATAAGGCTGCAAAGTTGGCACTGGATGCTCACCTGACAGCAACGTGGAGTCCTGCCGTTTACAGTAGTTGCCGATATACCTTCTTTTTTTTTCTTTTTGTTTTTTAATTTATATAATTTTTATGTTCTGATAATTACAATTTATAGCAGTTCTTACGATTTTATGGCCAATCTTTGTTCTGACATTAATATTAGGTGTTGAAATGGTAATCAGATAGTCGCAAATACACTGGCAGGTGAACATTTTCACCTGACTTGGTCTAGAAATATAGTATACGAAGTATTTATAGGTATCAGCAATGTTTAAGACACGCTGGAGTATATGAAACTCCTTGAAGCATGGTATAAGATGAGTGTCACTCCACTGCTGACAGTGCAGCACTCTGATATTGATGACCGTGCACTGCTCCAGTGAACCTTGGCTTTATTTGTTTTCACTGTTACACATAAACATGTCTGTCTGTCTAGCTCTGTCTCTGCTTTTCTGCCTTCCTGTCTGTCTCTGTCTTCCTGCCTCTCTGCTTGTCTCTTTCTCAGAGAGAGAGCTGCTCATCAACCAACAGGTATTACACACGATGCAGAGTCATCATGTCTGATTCCTGATCAAATGAAAATGCGTATTACTTGCCAGTCATGCTTATTATGCCTTATATCTACAAGTACTTTGGATTTTGTGGATTACCCTAGGTAATTTACACTATAATAACTGTACTTATGCGTACCTGTGAGATATACATACAAACAGAAATAGATACAGACAGAAAGAGATGGAGACAGCCAAAGTCAATCAGCCAGCCATCTGGCCACCGAGCCAGCTGGCCTGCCAAACACGTATTACACATGTTCCAGAATCATTTCTCTTTACTTAGGTCATAGGTTATAGGATATTCTGGTAAGATGACATTACCAGTGGTATCAAAATTGAAAGGATGTGGCACAAATGTTGCACATGAGCTATTATCGAGGTTTTTGATACGTGTATTCCCTAAACCACTTGTGGCCACATCCATCTCAGAGCCACTAAATACGGGGTCAACATCACTTTCCTCTTAAAAGGGGAGTGTTAATACGACATGGAATTAGTGAATCCCTGGTGTTTGCCATGTTGTTTGCTCTTGTTGGTGCTCAGTTGAACTGGTGTTACCACAAGGTACTAATTGGTCCCAGTTTTTTTTAATACTGCTCACACCAAATGTTAAGACCCATTCTATACTGACCAGGCATCTCAGGCCAATCGTGCCAAATTTGGAAGCAGGAAAAATAAAACGTTGATCTACGTTAGGAGTGCTAGCAGTAAGAACGTAAATCTACATTTGGACAGTTAAGGGATCAATAGGAAAAGAGAAAGTGACATTTCAGGTATCCAAAATGCTTAAAATAATTATACATAATATCAAGGCTTTCACACAGCTTGAATGATTCGCATCTGCTTATTTTAATGTCTCTCTCTCAACACACCGGCTGTATCCCACCAAGGCGGGGTGGCCCAAAAGGAAAAACAAAAGTTTCTCCTTTTACATTTAGTAATATATACAGGAGAAGGGGTTACTAGCCTCTTGCTCCCGGCATTTTAGTCGCCTCTTAAAACACGCATGGCTTACGAGGAAGAATTCTGTTCCACTTCCCCATGGAGATAAGAGGAAATAAACAAGAACAAGAACTAGAAAGAAAATAGAAGAAAACCCAGAGGGGTGTGTGTATATATATGCTTGTACATGTATGTGTAGTGTGACCTAAGTGCAAGTAGTAGTAGCAAGACGTACCTGAAATCTTGTATTTTTATGAGACAGACAAAAGACACCAGCAATCCTACCATCATGTAAAACAATTACAGGCTTTCGTTGTACACTCACTTGGCAGGACGGTAGTACCTCCCTGGGCGGTTGCTGTTTACCAACCTACTACCTAGGATTTTAATGTACGAGTTATTATATTTTGATTTACTTTTTCACTTTGTTTAATATTTCTTGACAGTGAGGGAGTATCATCAGTCTCTTGATGTACCTGATTTACATTTTTATATTTTAGTATGTGTTGTACTATATTTTATTTGCTAATTTTTATACTGTATCTCTCAATTTATCAGCCCTACCTTTTCTTCCTATTTTACTACAAATCTTTGTCAGACAAGTACATATAACCCTTATGAGTTAAGTGGTTCCCCATGACTGTTGTAATAATAATAATAATAATAATAATAATAATAATAGGTAGTAGGTTGGTAGACAGCAACCACCCAGGGAGGTACTACCGTCCTGCCAAGTGAGTGTAAAACGAAAGCCTGTAATTGTTTTACATGATGGTAGGATTGCTGGTGTCTTTTGTCTGTCTTATAAATATGCAAGATTACAGGTACGTCTTGCTACTTCTACTTACACTTAGGTCACACTACACATACATGTACACGTTTATTTATACACACTCATCTGAGTTTTCTTTGATTTTATCTTAATAGTTCTTGGTCTTATTACTTTTCCTTTTATATCCATGGGGAAGTGGAATAAGAATCTTTCCTCCGTAAGCCATGCGTGTTGTAAAAGTCAACTACAATGCCGGGAACAATGGGCTAGTAACCCCTTTTCCTGTAAAGATTACTAAAAAGAATAAGAAGAAAATTGTCAAAGTGGGAAGTCTGAATGTGCGTGGATGTTGTGCAAATGATAAGAAAGAGATGATTGTGGATGTTATGAATGAGAAGAAACTGGATGTCCTGGCTTTAAGTGAAACAAAGCTGAAGGGGGTGGGAGAGTTTCAATGGAGAGGAATAAATGGGATTAGGTCAGGGGTTTCAAATAGAGTTAGAGCTAAAGAAGGAGTAGCAATAATGTTGAAGGATAAGCTATGGCAGGAAAAGAGGGACTACAAATGTATAAATTCAAGGATTATGTGGAGTAAAATAAAGATTGGATGTGAAAAGTGGGTTATAGTAAGCGTGTATGCACCTGGAGAAGAGAGAAGTGTAGAGGAGAGAGAGAGATTCTGGGAAATGTTGAGTGAATGCGTGGGGAGTTTTGAATCAAGTGTGAGAGTAATGGTGGTTGGGGATTTCAATGCTAAAGTGGGTAAAAATGTTATGGAGGGAGTAGTAGGTAAATTTGGGGTGCCAGGGGTAAATGTAAATGGGGAGCCTTTAATTGAGCTATGTGTAGAAAGAAATTTGGTAATAAGTAACACACATTTTATGAAAAAGAGGATAAATAAATATACAAGGTATGATGTAGCATGTAATGAAAGTAGTTTGTTAGATTATGTATTGGTGGATAAAAAGTTGATGGGTAGGCTCCAGGATGTACATGTTTATAGAGGGGCAACTGATATATCGGATCATTATTTAGTTGTAGCTACAGTTAGAGTAAGAGGTAGATGGGAAAAGAGGAAGGTGGCAACAACAAGTAAGAGGGAGGTGAAAGTGTATAAACTAAGGGAGGAGGAAGTTCGGGCGAGATATAAGCGACTATTGGCAGAAAGGTGGGCTAGTGCAAAGATGAGTAGTGGGGGGGTTGAAGATGGTTGGAATAGTTTTAAAAATGCAGTATTGGAATGTGGGGCAGAAGTTTTGTGGTTATAGGAGGGTGGGGGCAGGAGGAAAGAGGAGTGATTGGTGGAATGATGAAGTAAAGGGTGTGATAAAAGAGAAAAAGGTAGCTTACGAGAGGTTTTTACAAAGCAGAAGTGTTATAAGAAGAGCAGAGTATATGGAGAGTAAAAGAAAGGTGAAGAGAGTGGTGAGAGAGTGCAAAAGGAGAGCAGATGAAAGAGTGGGAGAGGCACTGTCAAGAAATTTTAATGAAAATAAGAAAAAATTTTGGAGTGAGTTTAAACAAGTTAAGAAAGCCTAGGGAAAGTATGGATTTGTCAGTTAAAAACAGAGTAGGGGAGTTAGTAGATGGGGAGAGGGAGGTATTAGGTAGATGGCAAGAATATTTTGAGGAACTTTTAAATGTTAAGGAAGAAAGGGAGGCGGTAATTTCATGCACTGGCCAGGGAGGTATACCATCTTTTAGGAGTGAAGAAGAGCAGAATGTAAGTGTGGTGGAGGTACGTGAGGCATTACGTAGAATGAAAGGGGGTAAAGCAGCTGGAACTGATGGGATCATGACAGAAATGTTAAAAGCAGGGGGGATATAGTGTTGGAGTGGTTGGTACTTTTATTTAATAAATGTATGAAAGAGGGGAAGGTACCTAGGGATTGGCGGAGAGCATGTATAGTCCCTTTATATAAAGGGAAAGGGGACAAAAGAGATTGTAAAAATTATAGAGGAAATAAGTTTACTGAGTATACCAGGAAAAGTATACGGTAGGGTTATAATTGAAAGAATTAGAGGTAAGACAGAATGTAGAATTGCGGACGAGCAAGGAGGCTTCAGAGTGGGTAGGGGATGTGTAGATCAAGTGTTTACATTGAAGCATATATGTGAACAGCATTTAGATAAAGGTAGGGAAGTTTTTATTGCATTTATGGATTTAGAAAAGGCATACGATAGAGTGGATAGAGGAGCAATGTGGCAGATGTTGCAAGTATATGGAATAGGTGGTAAGTTACTAAATGCTGTAAAGAGCTTTTATGGGGATAGTGAGGCTCAGGTTAGGGTGTGTAGAAGAGAGGGAGAATACTTCCCAGTAAAAGTAGGTCTTAGACAGGGATGTGTAATGTCACCATGGTTGTTTAATATATTTATAGATGGGGTTGTAAAAGAAGTAAATGCTAGGGTGTTCGGGAGAGGGGTGGGATTAAATTATGGGGAATCAAATTCAAATGGGAATTGACACAGTTACTTTTGCTGATGATACTGTGCTTATGGGAGATTCTAAAGAAAAATTGAAAAGGTTAGTGGATGAGTTTGAGAATGTGTGTAAAGGTAGAAAGTTGAAAGTGAACATAGAAAAGAGTAAGGTGATGAGGGTATCAAATGATTTAGATAAAGAAAAATTGGATATCAAATTGGGGAGGAGGAGTATGGAAGAAGTGAATGTTTTCAGATACTTAGGAGTTGACGTGTCGGCGGATGGATTTATGAAGGATGAGGTTAATCATAGAATGATGAGGGAAAAAAGGTGAGTGGTGCATTGAGGTATATGTGGAGTCAAAAAACGTTATCTATGGAGGCAAAGAAGGGAATGTATGAAAGTATAGTAGTACCAACACTCTTATATGGATGTGAAGCTTGGGTGGTAAATGCAGCAGCGAGGAGACGGTTGGAGGCAGTGGAGATGTCCTGTCTAAGGGCAATGTGTGGTGTAAATATTATGCAGAAAATTCGGAGTGTGGAAATTAGGAGAAGGTGTGGAGTTAATAAAAGCATTAGTCAGAGGGCAGAAGAGGGGTTGTTGAGGTGGTTTGGTCATTTAGAGAGAATGGATCAAAGTAGAATGACATGGAAAGCATATAAATCTATAGGGGAAGGAAAGAGGGGTAGGGGTCGTCCTCGAAAGGGTTGGAAAGAGGGGGTAAAGGAGGTTTTGTGGGTGAGGGGCTTGGACTTCCAGCAAGCGTGCATGAGCGTGTTAGATAGGAGTGAATGGAGACGAATGATACTTGGGACCTGACGATCTGTTGGAGTGTAAGCAGGGTAATATTTAGTGAAGGGATTCAGGGAAACCGGTTATTTTCATATAGTTGGACTTGAGTCCTGGAAATGGGAAGTACAATGCCTGCACTTTAAAGGAGGGGTTTGGGATATTGGCAGTTTGGAGGGATATGTTGTGTATCTCTATACGTATATGCTTCTAAACTGTTGTATTCTGAGCACCTCTGCAAAAGCAGTGATAATGTGTGAGTGTGGTGAAAGTGTTGAATGATGATGAAAGTATTTTCTTTTTGGGGATTTTCTTTCTTTTTTTTTTTTTTTGGGTCACCCTGCCTCGGTGGGAGACAACCGACTTGTTGAAAAAAAAAAAAAAATAATAATAATAATAATAACAGTGATAATAATTTTTTTAACACATTGGCCATTTCCCACTGAGGCAGGGTGACCCAAAAGGAAAGAAAAACCCCCATCGCTTTCACCATCATTCATACATAATCAGTCTTTGCAGAGGCGCTCAGGTGCAACAGCTTAGACATCCCTCTAAACTGCCAATATCCCAAACCCTTCCTTTAAAGTGCAGGCACTGTTAATAATAATACTTTTATCTATGTTCTCACTCCATTAATTTAAATTTTATTCTGTTTATTATTGTAATGCATAAATAATCCACATACATTGGTACCTGTTCTTCACTTGTGTGTAGCAAGTTTTCAGTCACACAACTTCAGTCAGCTGTCTCTCCACATTGACAGGCAAACATGTTTTCTTTTTATATTTATTTCATGAGAGGAACTTTAAATCAATAGGAATCATATGGAACCTTAGAGAAAGGGAAGCAGTTAGTGTCACTTCAAGCAAAAGGAAGGCAGCTTACATTCCCCACTCTGCCCATTTATTCGCTACCACTACTATCTTTTTATTGCCACCTCTATCCCTCTTTCTCTACTTCTACTATTTACTACCACTACTACTACAATATTCCTACTCTCTCCTCCTGTTCTCCCACTTCCATCCCCCACCTCCCCTTCATATATTCTGGCTCCCTTCCCTTCACTCTTCTCTGTGTGACTAGTTAGTGGTCCAAGTCAGAACGAAACAGCGGCGTAAGTTTCAGTCTCCTATGTGCAGGTTATTTGTGTGTCGACCCGTGTATAGTTTTGAAGGTTATAGCTTTAGATAATCTCAAGGGAGGTGCATTGATACTGGACCTAACCTCCTCTTCCTCGGATCATACCTGAATGCCTTCCAGTCCTGTATAACCTGTAAGAATCCTCCTCTTCCTTGGATTATACCTGAATGCCTTCCATTCCTGTATAACCTATAAGGATTTAGCACTTCCTCATAATTAAAATAAATAAGTATAGCTGTAAATCCTTACTGAAAGACATAATTAAATTCTTGTAGGTTTTCTATATTTTGGCATAAGTATTTTGGCATATGTTGGATTTTGAGTCATTTTAGAGTGACAAAAGTCTTGCATATATTGGTGTAAAATCATTGAGATTGTTAAATTTTCTTGTATCTTTTTTTTAAATACTGCTGGGGCTATTCTCAATGAGCCAGTTTAACACAAGGAAGAAAACACATTCCCATTTACTCACTCTAGCTGCCTGTTCAGTAACATCAACAACTATTAATCACTGCATCACTCACTCCTACACACCATCAACAAATATCTCCTGATCAACCTCTTAAAGGTTCAATAACAAGTATTCATTTGCTACATAACAGTGTGTATATTGCAAGCACAGTGGTACTTTGACTTGCGAGTTTAATTCGTTCCGTGACCAAGCTCGTAACTCAATTTGCTCACATATCAAATCAATTTTCCTTGTTGAAATTAACTGAAGTGCCATTAATCCATTCCAGTGGAATTCCTGGCTCTCGGGAGGCAGGAGAAAATACTTCACTTTAACTCTAATATCAACTCTATGGCTTATTTATCTATCACAATATAAATAATAAAAATATAAACAATATAAATAACATAGAAACATGATGTACTTTAGAACGAATAAAATATGTCATTATGTCATGAGTGGTGACGGCAACTCCCGAGGTAAAAATAATTATCGCTCTGACCATGTCTTTCTAAGATTTCTTGCCCTTCTGAGATCTTATTATAAGAGAAAATGGAGTGTTTGTGAGTCTAACTGCATTAGATCACTAGTTTCATAAGGGAAACACTGAAACAAAGTCGATATCTCATGTTTTTCTTTGATTTCATGCTTTAATTCAATGGACATCATCATCCTCTTCTCAGCACTTCCTTTGCACTTACTGTCTTAGGACACATGGTTAAAAAAGGAAATTTGGCAAAATAACTGCACAAAAAGCACAAAACACTGGGATACCATTCGTTGCACCAACTAGTGGCAGCGTATCTGAAGCTCGCTTGTAACTTGGATTTTGGCTCGCAACTCAAAGCATAAAATCAACTGAGCAACAGCTCGTAACTTGGAAAACTCATAAGTTGGGGGCACTTGTATGTCAAGGTACCACTGTATTGTAATAGCTGGTGAGATGTGTAGAATTTTTTATGTACTGTGTTATGGTTTGTAATTTAGTTGAAGTATTTTTTATAGACTGCCTTTATCCTACCCTAGAGAAGATTGTACCTAATTACATTTCATTGTCAACAATACTCATTTCAGCATAGCATGGATGAGCATACTATATCGCTGAGTGCTTTGACTACATCAGAATTACAACCCTACCTACAGGATTTGTATCCTGAGTTAGCACAGAAGTGCTTCTTCTGCAAGATTCTTACATTTAAGGTAATTCATTTTTCATACATGTTATTACCTAATGGAACAATTATTCTCCGTACAATATCAGTCATGGCTATGTATCTTTTTCTTGCTAACCAACAATAAGCTTTTGGTTAATATGCATTAAATTTCTTTAAGTTGATTTGGTATATGGTAGAGTATAACATATAATTAACCCCTTCAATGTCAGTGACGTATAGGTATAGCTTACAAGCCAGTGTTAGTGATGTATTAATACCCCAAAATTCTAGCAGGAGAAAGATGGTAGACCTACATGTGAGAGAATGGGTCTGCATGATCAGTGTGCACAGTATAAAACAAATCCTGCAGCACACAGTGCATGAGAGGACAAAAAAACTCAGACCATGTTTTTGGATTAAAACGTCGCCTTTGAGGTGTATTTTCATATGGTATTTATAGTTGTATTCTCATTTTCTTGGTCTCATTTGATAGAATGGAAGATAAGTTACAGAAACAGAGATGATTTTGATTGGTTTCACAATGAAAAGTAATTTGAAATTGAGCTCAAAATAGCAGAAATGTTCAATTTTTGCCGATGTTCAAGAGTAAACAAATGACGTCACCGTCCAATATGTGTCCAACTGGCCAGTCTAATACACAGTCATGAATGGGTTGATATTATTTATACAATTATATAATAATGCAGTAATCTGCATAACAGTAAATCTTCTATTTTTTTGTGTGTGAATAAAAATTTAGAATGGAAAGCAAGGGTAATATAAGAGAGGCCTGGAGACGTGACTAATGAATAGAGGAAATGTTATTTTAGTGCCAGGAATGTCTGCATTGTTTATTCTGGACCCTGTTTTGAAATTGGCATCTTTTGAAATTTGTGTGAAATTGGCCATATTGCCAATTTCTCACCACTTGATTGGGTAGTTGAAATCAGTAAATGGGCAGTTTCTTGTACTCAGTCGATAGAACAGATGGAGTTCTAGAGAAATAGCTATGACTTTGGTCGACTGGAACAGTGGAATTGGCCGAAAATAGGGCTCAGTGTGGGTGAAATCCCTGATGCGTATACATGTATATCGCTGAGACCACTAACTTCGAGAAACCGTAAATCCGTAAGTTTTCCATCAAATTTCATACCTTTAGTGTCATTACCATCAGGAAAATATTCTCTATCATTTCATAAGAATCTTTTTTTTTTTTTTTTTTTTTTTTAATAGTTTTTAACACATAGAGGGCGTTTAGAATCAGGGTCCCGACAGTGAAAGGGTTAAGTAGAAGGAAAGTCAGTTCTGTGTATCAGGCATGCAGTTTCAGTACAGTAGGACTTCCATATCCATGGGATACATTCCAAGGACCTGCCGTGAATACCGAAACCGTAGATAGTAGCAAACCCTATATATAAGTCCTATAAATACCTATTGTAAACTTTGATAATTCTCCACTTATTATGCATAATTTATCACCTTTTCACTGGTGGGAAACACTTCACAGCTTCTCTTAAACTTTGAAGAACTGCCAGCTTCTTTCTTTTGCACTTTGGGGCCAATATTATGCAAAATTAAGAGGTATTTTGGGGCCACAGTAAACTATGGATAACTGAAACTGTGGATACCGGATCAGTGGATACACGGGTTCTACTTTATACAGTAGGGCCCTACTTTATGGTGCTTTGCTTTACGGCATTTCATTAATACTGACATTTCTCATTATGCTAGGTAGTAGATTCGTAGACAGCAACCACCCAGAGAGGTCCTACCGTCCTGCCAAGTGAGTGTAAAACAAAAGCCTCTAATTGTTTTACATGATGGTAGGATTGCTGGTGTCCATTTTTCTGTCTCATAAACATGCAAGGTTTCAGGTACATCTTGCTACTTTTACTTACACTTAGGTAACACTACACATAAATGTACAAGCATATATATACACACCCCTCTGGGTTTTCTTCTATTTTCTTACTAGTTCTTGTTTATTTCCTCTTATCTCCATGGGGAAGTGGAACAGAATTCTTCCTCCGTAAGCTATGCGTGTTGTAAGAGGCAACTAAAATGCCAGGAGCAAGGGGCTAGTAACCCCTTCTCCTGTATAAATTACTAAATTTAAAAAGAGAAACTTTCGTTTTTCTTTTTGGGCCACCCTGCCTCAGTGGGATATGGCCAGTTTCTTGAAAGAAGAATTTCAAATTATAACCAAAACTCATTTTATGGCTCTTTCCCCCCCCCCCCCCTTCCCCACTTGACTCACTAATGTGGTCACAGTGCACCACCTAGTTTGTTTACATTCTTAGTGAGTTCCACGTCTCTCTATTATGTCTGGAACCTTCTGAAGTTATTTTGTGTATGTACTCTGATAATTATACTTATGTATACCTATACCTAAGTACATTTACACACTGTACAGGTACACATTAATATCATTACCCTCTTAATTGTCCAAACGTAGATCTACGTTCTTACCGTTAGCACTCCAAACATAGATTGACATTTTATTTTTCCTGCCTCCAAATTTGGCACAATTTGCCTGAGATGCCTGGTCAGTATAGAATAGGTCTTAACACTCAGTGTGTGAAGTATTAAAAATATCTGGGACCACTTAGTACCTTGTGGGAGCACCAGTTCAGTTGAGCACCAGCTACAGTAAACAACTTATCAAACACCAGGGATTTATTGATACCATGTCATATTAACACTCCCCTTTTAAGAGGAAAGTGAAGTTGACCCTGAGTTTAGTGACTTTGAGATGGGTGTGGCCACAAGTGGTCGAGAAAATATCAAAAACCTGATAATAACCCATGTGCAACATTTGTGCAGTATCCTTTCAATTTTGATACCACTGGTAGCGTCATCCTGCCAAAATGTTCTGTAACCTATACCCTAAGAGAAACAATTCTGGAACCTGTGTAATACGTGTTCGGCAGGGTGGGTGGCTGATTGACTTTGGCTGTCTCTATCTCCATCTGTCTCTCTATGTCTGTCTCACAGGTACACATAAATACAGTTATTATTCATAATGTAAATTACCTAGAATAACCCCAAAAAAATCCAAAATGCTATACTGTGCTTTTAGATATAGGCATAATAAGCATGACTGGCAAGTAATATGCATTTTCACTTGTTGAAGAATCAGACATGATGACTGTGCATTTTGTGTAATGCTTGTTGGTTCGTGAGCGGCTTCTCTCTCTCTGAGCCAGAGACACGAGCAGATAGAGCGACAGGAAAACAGACAGAAAGACAGATAAGCAGAGACAGAGCTAGAGAGATACAGGCAGATAGATAGACAAACAAACAGATAGACATGTTTATATGTAACAGTGAAAACAAAGCCAAGGCAATGCACAATCATCAAATGTCACTCCACTGCTGCACTGTCAGTAGTGGAGTGACACTTACACCGTGCTTCAAGGAGTTTCAGGTATACTCCAGCATGTCTAAAACATTGCTGGGACCTATAAATACTATGTATATATTTCTAGACAATAATATGTGACCAAGGTAGGTGAAAATGTTCAACTGTTAGTGTGTTTGTGACTATTTGAGTATTATTTCAGTACCTAATATTAGTATCAGAACAAAGATTGGCTATGAAATCACAAGAACCGGGCCTGGGGTGGCCCGGTGGCCTGGTGGCTAAAGCTCCCGCTTCACACACGGAGGGCCCGGGTTCGATTCCCGCCGGGTGGAAACATTCGACACGTTTCCTTACACCTGTTGTCCTGTTCACCTAGCAGCAAATAGGTACCTGGGTGTTAGTCGACTGGTGTGGGTCGCATCCTGGGGGACAAGATTAAGGACCCCAATGGAAATAAGTTAGACAGTCCTCGATGACGCACTGACTTTCTTGGGTTATCCTGGGTGGCTAACCCTCCGGGGTTAAAAATCCGAACGAAATCTTATCTTATAAAACTTATACTTTTTTCTCATTTTTTTTATTTATATATCGGTAACACTTCTGCAAGCGGCAGGACTCCATGTTGCTGTCATGTGAGCATCCAGTGCCAACTTTGCAGTCTTATATCTCAGTAAGTACTGACCCTAAAAAATACCTTTTTTTTTTTTCAAATTATTAAGAGCTCTGGGCGAGAGAACATAGAGTTACGTTTGGACAGTTGAGGAGTTGTAGGGTGCTGTAATAGAGATTTTGCTGGATTACAGAGTGGTTAGGTAGGATAATTACACTCAACCCAACAGCAATATTTACGCATCAGCAATTTCACCTACTTTATCGCCCTCTTTTTGGCCCATTCCATTGTTCCAGTCTACCAAACTCCCAGCTATTTTGCTAGTACTCCTTCTATTCTGTCGATTGAGAACAAGAAACCACCCATTTACCTATTTCAACTACCCAATAAAGTGGTCAGAAATCAGTAATTTGGCCAGTTTCACACAAATTTCAAGAGATGCCAATTTCAGAATAGGGTCCAGAACAAACAATGCAGACATTCCTGACACTAAAATAACATTTTCTCTGTTCATTAGTCATGTCTGAAGGCCCCTCTTATATTACTCTTGCTTTCCATTTTGAATTTTTATTCACACAAAAAATAGAAGATTTACTGTTATGTAGATTACTGCATTATTGTAGTAATTGTATAAATAATGTCAACCCATTCATGACTGTGTATTAGACTGGCCAGTTGAACGTGTATTAGACAGCAACGTCATTTGTTTACTCTTGAACACTGGCAAAAATCAAACATTTCCACTACTCTGAGCTCAATTTCAAAGTACTTTTCATTATGAAACCAATCAGAATCATCTCTATTTCTGTAACATATCTTCCATTCTATCAAATGAGACCAAGAAAACGAGAATACAACCATAAATACCATACAAAAATACACATCAAAATCAGCATTTCAGACCAAAAACACGTTCGGTTTTTCTCTCATTATGCATTGCTTGATACAGGATTTTTCTTGTACTGTACACACTGATCATGCAGACCCATTCTCTCACATGTAGGTCTACCAACTTTCTCCCACTAGAATTTTGGGGTATTAATATGACACCAACAGTGAAAGGGTTAAATTTGGGAATGTTCATTAACTCAGCTACTCATTAATTGTTAATGAGAACATGCAGTAGTTCTTTACATGCTGTATTAATTAACATCTTTATTTGCATCATCCACAGGGATACAGGTGCACCAAATGCACTACCAGGGTCCATCGAAAGTGTGGTAAAAACTTTTGGGCACACAAGGGTGCCCAGTCAGTTCTCTGTCCTGATCCTCTTTGTAAAGAACAATGGCCAAATGTAGAACAAACTCTTAAAATGAAACGCCAAAAAGTTTATGATGATGAGGATGCCACCCGCTGATTGTAATATACAGTGGACCCCCGCTTAACGGTCACCTCCAAATGCGACCAATTATGTAAGTGTATTTATGTAAGTGCGTTTGTACGTGTATGTTTGGGGGTCTGAAATGGACTAATCTACTTCACAATATTCCTTATGGGAAAAAATTCGGTCAGTACTGGCACCTGAACATACTACTGGAATGAAAAAAGTTCGTTAACCGGGGGTCCACTGTACAGTTGTGTTCTGCTTTACCTCTAGAGGTGGGTGTACAGTGCTTACACCTTTAAGGACAGGTGAGGAAATATATGTTGAATGTGGGTGAATGTTTCCTTTTTTGAGTCACCTTACCATGTTGAAGCTGCTGATGTTATAAATAAAATCTTAACAGACCCCTAAGTGTTTCACTGAAGGCTACATTTTGTAGTGTATTTAAGAAACATATTCATGCATTTAATAAAAGTTACTTCACATATTGACTTAATAGGAATTTTGGTTGAATAGTAAATTTATACAATAAGCTTTTACATGTTGTACAGTGTAATAATAAACCTATTCTTATTATGCCAGCATATATGTTTGTTTTATACAGGTCCTCCATCACAAATCCGGCATCATTGCGACCTGTAGTGTGCCGGATTACTGAGTTTGCCGGATTACAGAGTGGTTAGGTTAGAATACACTTATTAAAATTAACCAACTTGACTTACACAAAGTTCATTGAACATTGGCAAAAATCGAACATTTCCGCTACTTTGAGCTCAATTTCAAGGTACTTTTCATCATGAAAGCAATCAAAATCATATCTGTTTCTGTAATATATCTTCCATTCTATCAAATGAGTCTAAAAAATGAGAAAACAACCATAAAAACCATACAAAAATATACTGCAAAGAGGCGGCTAATGGCTGAGAAGTGAACTACCTTATTTATCGTCCGTCTTTTTTATTTTTGGTGTACGTTAAGAAGCATCTTTCCATCATACATTGCCTAAGTTTCAATGAGATAGCCCAACAAACAACCGAGAAAAAAAAAATATTTATTTACCAAGGAGGCCTGGTCACAGACCGGGCTGCGGGGGCATTGACCCCTGGAACTCTCTCCAGGTAAACTCCAGGTAAACCAAGCCAGGTACTGGAAATAAGTCATTTTGTCTGACTTTTTTGGGTTATCCCAGGTTCTCTATACATACTCTGCTATGCATGATAATCTATGTAACTGTATTTGTGTATACCTGAATAAATTTATTTACTTCTAGTCTGTCAACTGAGTACAAGAAATTGCCCATTCACTTATTCAACTACCCAATAAAGTGGTCAGAAATGGGCAATTTGGCCAATTTCACACAAATTTCAACAGATGCCAATTTCAAAATAGGGTCCAGAATAAACATTGCAGACATTCCTGGCACGAAAATAACATTTTCTCTGTTCATTAGTCATGGCTACAGTGTAGACAGCCTGTACTGTCTGCACAGACACCCCATGCTGTCTGCCAGCTTAGTTCATATTTCGCGCCACTCAGATGCTGCCCTCTGTAGCCAGGCCTCTCGGTAGGCACGCCAGCCTGTCTGCCCTTGCCTCGCTCTCACTCACACAGCGGCCTAGCAGGAAGACACAAGGCCTACTCCTAGCTCTCTCTCGTGGGATGGCCCTGCCCGGGCCATGGGCACAACACACAAGCCTGTGTACCCACCACACTTTTCAATAAACAAAGAAGCCTCCAAAGACGTATCATTTAACCACCCGCTACCAGAACGCCAAACAAACTATTAAACAACAGGCCCCTCTTATATTATTCTTGCTTACCATTTGGAATTTTTATTAAAAAAAAAAATAGAAGTTTTACTGTTATGCAGACTGCTGCATTATTGTAATAATTGTATAAATAATGTCAACCCATTCTTGACTACGTATTGGAATTTGGACTGGCAGGTGGACAGGTATTGGAGGTGACGTCATATGTTTACTCTTGAGCTTCGCTAAAGAATAGAACATTTTCGCTACTGTGAGCACAAATTCAAGGTACTTTTCATCACGAAAGCAATCAAAATCATATCTATTTCTGTAATATATCTTTGTCTATCAAATGAGATCGAAAAAATGAGAATATAATCATAAAAACCATACAAAAATACATATACCACTAAGCGGCCGCTAATGGCTGAGAAGTGAACTCCTCTATTTATGGTCTGATTCCTTTCATTTTTGGTGTACTTTAAGAAGTATCTTTCCATCATACATTGCCCAAGTTTCAATAAGATAACCCAACAAACAACTGAGAAAATAATATAATAATAATAATAATAATATCTTTATTTACTACACGTACATGTATAAGTTATACAGGCCTAGCTGACATCAGTGACATACTACTATATAGAAAGCCGCTTGTTATGCAGAGTATTTCAAGAAAATTAGGTCAGTGTCCTAGGATAACACCCACACTAGTCAGCTAACACCCAGGTACCCATTTACTGATGGGTAAACATAGACAACAGGTGTAAAGAAACACGCCTAATGTTTCTACCCTGGCTGGGAATCGAATACAGTGGTTCCTCGTTTATCGTAATTAATCCGTTTCTGGAGGTGTTACTATTATCGAAATCTACGATTTTCGAATCAATTTTCCCCATAAGAAATAATGTAAATACAATTAATCCGTTCCTGACACTCAGAAGTATTAAAACAAAAAATTTTTTTACATGAAATATAGATAACAAAAAAAGGCACAATACCGTGACTGGAACAATACACAAATAACCCGCACATAAAAGAGAGAAGTTTACGACGACGTTTCAGTCCGACTTGGACCATTTACAAAGTCACACTAACCAGAAGTGGAGCAGGACGGCTATATATAGGCAGGAAGAGGTGGTGGTGGTAGTAGTAGTAGTAGTAGTAGTAGAAGAATGGTATATAATACCGACAAGATGAAATTAAGACACATGCGCAACACCCAGGCATTCTATCGTAGACGTTTCGCCATCCAGCCAGCCACTGGATGGCAAAACGTCCACAACAAAGACACCCAGACGCCGCACATGTCTTAATTTCATCAGTGGTGGTAGTAGTGGTAGTAGTAGAAGAGGTAGTAGTAGTGGTAGTAGTAGAAGTGGGGAATAAGGAGGACGAGCCAGTCAAATACAAAGGAAGGGGAGCACTGCAAGGGAGCTAGGTGCCCACAGAGGTGCGTGAAAGGGGAAGTGGTGAAATAAATGAAGAAGGAAAAGAAACACGAGACAGAAGAGAGAAAGAACTATCCCACCATTTTCAACCTCCAACTACCCATACTTACACTAAGCCACCTTTCTGCTAATATATAATATAATCATCATAGTCATAGGAGAAACACCTAAGGAACGTAATCAGGTTCAGTTCTAGAACAGGAGAGACATCTCACTAGCACAATGGAACTTTCCAAAAGGGGTATCTATACATATAAAAATAAAAGTAATTTATATAAAAAGAGAACTCAATAGTATAAATTTTCGAACCAAATACAGTATAAGCTAAATTCCCAACATTGTTTAAATATTGAGGAGTTAGAAGAAGGGGTAGGGGTGGGTAGAGGGAAGGTGTTATTTTATTTCATGGGAGAGAAACTCTGAGTCCATAGGATCCTATCAGCACCAATTGGGAATGAAGGCAGGATCAGTCCTTGGGAAGGTTGCTCATGTCACGCGCTTGATTCACTTAAAGGGGTAGAACTGTATGAGATTTTAAGTGACAGGGCCTGAGGATCTCTAGCAGACATGTAAGCAAGGAAGACACAATATAGATATCTCTAGGGGAATTTGGCATGCCCCCCTTTTGGTAACATAAGACATGGTAATGATTAATGAGGGTATTCATGAAACCTAGTTAAGGTTCACATTTAGTCCCAAAGCAAGAATCTTAATGCCGTGCAACCCGAACGAAAGGAAAGGTTACAGTTCAGAACTTTTATTGCAATGGTTCTGTGGCAATTTTGGCAAGATAGGTTTTCATCAATGATAATGGTGACTTCTTTTTTGAAGGTCATCCTACCTGGTGATGGATAGGTTATGGTAAACTATTGACTGTGTAAGGGATGTCACACACTCGTAATTCCAAGAATCAAGGGAACTTTGCTGACAGACAATCTTTTTAATCAATTGTCGCTGTTTATTCAGACAGCGATGTCAGTGTCCTGACATGTTAACTTTCCACCACTTTCTCCGATGGCTCCACCTCTACACAGATTCTGCTATTACTTAACAGATACGTTTGATTTGCAAATAGCAACTGTGCCCCTCTCCTTTCCTCCTATCTTATTTAGCCAATGCCCTCTAGTCAACCTCTGAACCTTTCCCCCTGAGCCATGTCGTGCAGACTCTCACAATCCCACGATTTAAAATAACATTCCCACTTCCTTGAATGCTTGGTTCTTCTTTAAACAGTTTCTATGACTCTCAACCTGAAACTTACTAATTGCACCTTGACCTCTTCCTTGTGCATGTGTCATCCTCTGCAGCCTAAATTATTATTATAATCATCGGGAAGTGCTAAACCATAGGATTATACAGCCCTGTGGGAAGGGGGGATGAAGGTATTCAGGGTAATTCAGGGAACCGTACAGAGCACAGAGCCCAATTCCCTAGGTCAAGACCCTGCACACCTAAAATTAATCTAATATTAAGCCTTCACATTTTCTGCATCACCAGCACATCCTCAACATGCAGGTTCTAATGACAATATGGGTTTTAGTACTTCTGAGACTTATTGGGCTAACAAATATACAGAGTTAATAACTGGTTTAAATACTTTAAATAGAAATTAGCTACATAATATATATAGTATTTTTTTTATATCAACTGGCCATGATACCTCGCAAAGGCAAGGTATACCTGGGCGAGGGTTCGGGGGTCAATGCCGCTGTGATTCGGTCTGAGAGGACCAGGTCTCTCATGGTGGATCAGGGTCTGATCAACCAGGCAGATACTGCTGTCGCAATGCACGCCAACTGACGTAGGAACCACAGACTGGCCTAGTTAGTAACGGACTTTACGGGTACCTGTGCCAGTGCTTCTAAGACACCTAGGGGGTCTATGGTGAATCCTCCGCTTAAGTATGCGGGAGGCAGTTGAACTCAGTCTTCGGCACCTGACACTACTGTGCTGTCTCTCATGTGTACTATGTGGCACCGCAGCTGCTTTTCATTGGGAATGTTTGTTCATCTCCTGAGCCGGAGTTTTTTGCTTCATGAGTGATTTTCGTGTGCAAGGGATTATTCCAAGTTGTACAGTAGACCGATTATAATAACACTAATGTTCCTGAAAATGCCATGTTAGGTAAATCCGTGTTAGATAACTGAAAGAACATGGGAAAAATAGGGTTAGTTCCTGGAGCCTCACCAAAAAAAGACTAAACTTTTT